CCTGCTCGGACATGTTTCACCCAAAATTGGGCTCAACTGGAGAGACTCTACAATGAAGGCCAGTTTGGGGTCAAATCAGCCAAAGAGGACCCAAATGGGGCTGTTTGCCCATCCAGAACAATAAAGCTACACCTGCATTAGATTTTAACAGGGTGCCGCCAGCTTTTTTTGTTCTTTTGTCCAAGAGGGGAACCAGTGAGATCCGCAGGGGACCCAGGAGAGCGACACTCCCAGGAGAGATGGTTTCCCAGAGCGGATTTGGGTCGGTGGTGGGCCATTTCTCAGGATCAGACCGGGAATCGAGGTAAACATTCACGTTTCATCTTTTTTAGGGATATCTTTTCAGTGAAGACAGGGTCTCTTTATCACCTTCATTCTTAGGGAACAAGCAAGCAGCAGGTGCAGGCAGAACTTGATCTGCTCTGGTGGCTCAGAATAGGGTGAGGACACATCTTCATGTCATAGTCCTGGAACTAGCATGCGTGCATACTGCCATTGCAATCTGCACACTCCTTCCAGGTCAGCACCTCAGAAAGAATTGAAGCCATCGGATCAGCATGACAGCCCAACAATATTTGCAGCAGGTGACTATTTTCTCAGGACGTTTCCATCCAGCCCTAAAGCTGCTAGGGTGCTACCAGTCCAACCACAAGTGACAACCTCCTGCCTGTCGGTGAACGTCCGATCTCGGCATCCAGAAGGATTTCTTGGTGATCAGATCCAGCAATGAGAGAGAATTGTGCTGGGCGATCTATGATGAGGGAGGAGCACCGTATAGAATATTGATCGATATCCTGTCCTGTCCTCCATCAACCTCCAACTCAACGAGGAGCCGGAGATGGGAAATTCAGCCGGAGGTGCTTTATGGTCGGAATAAAGTAAGACTTCCATATCAATACTGAGCAATACAATGAGGGGTATTTATCAACACTGGAGCGGAGAGAATCTGGAGCAGTTGCCTATGACAACCAATCAGCTTCTTTTTTCAGTTTGCTCAGGTAAGATTTGAAGATTAAACAGAGAAGCTGATTGGTTGCAGTGCAAATCTGCTCCGGTCTTGATAAATTCCCCCCCATGTGTCATAAAAGAGCAAAGTGTCCAGAATACAGAATCCCGATATATAAAGTGTATGAAACCCCCAACAATGATCTCTTATGTGCTCTCTTCAGCTCTGATAAATATACCATTGTAAGCATTTCATCTGGTCACAACTGTCTGTTGATCCTGCCAGGAATCTTTTGTACTTCCTGTGCTCTCTGCCGGTGCTGACTGTTATTAGTTACAATGTATCCAGCCTTCATTGTAGCCTGCAGAACACCTCCCTGATGTTATCGATAAGAGGAAAGGTGGAGTTGTTCTGTAGTCCTTCGGGGCACAATGCTGCTAATTCATAAATACAGTACAGTAAATGAGCGTTGTCACCTTAGGACAGGAAGTGTGTCGCTGGCAGGATCACCAGGTGAACATAATAAAAAAATTAAAAGAATGCAACCACCACATCTAAGGACGGATAAGCTGCAATATTTTGCATTTTTGTTCTATGTATAAATATAAAATATA